TATTCACCGCTAAACTGGCAAGTCAGTCAGCAATACAGAAGTCTTCAACTTTAGAAAGGCTGACTTCCACAAGCTTAGGAGGCTAGTTGTTCAGGCCCTGAGAAACCACAAACTGACAGGGAGGAATGTCCATGATGAATGGTTGCTCCTCAAGGATGCAATCCTTGAAGCACAAGGGAAGTCCATTCCAACCTGCAGAAAAAGTAGCAAAAGGGCTGAATGACCCCCTTGGCTCAATAGGGAACTCAAGGACCTCTTGCACCTAAAAAAAGAAGCTTATAAAGGATGGAAGATGGGAAACATCACTAAGAAGGAGCAGTCAGCACTAGCCCACACCTGCAGGGAGCAAACTAAGGAAGTCAAAGCTGAAACTGAGCTCAAACTGGCCATTTAAATTAAGGACAACAAAAAGTTCTTCAGATATGTGGGAAGTTAGAAAAAGAACAAGGTTAACGTTGGAACCTTACTAAACCAAGTGGGGCAGCTGATAACTGACACTCAGGAAAAAGCCATTCTCCCTAATGACTACTTTGTGTTGGTCTTCCATCGGCCCAGTGGCATCACCCTGCCTGACAAGAGGCATGATCACCAGGGGAAGGGCAAACCTGTGCCCACCATTACCACTGATCTTGTGAGGCTGGATATCCACAAATCAGCCAGCCTGTGCTAAAGGAACTAGCTGACATTATAGCACAGCCTATGGCAAGGATATTTGAGAATTCGTGGTGCTTGGGCATAGTGCCTGATGACTGGAAGAGAGCCAATGTGGTGCATATCTTCAAGAAGGGGAGAAGGGAAAATGCAGGGAACTACAGGCCAATTAGCTTGACCTCAATCCCTGGAAAGATCCTGGAAAAATAATTAAGGAAACAATTTAGCAGCATCCTAACAGAAGGTGATATTCTGAGTGATAGCCAACTGCTTCATAGCAGGTAGATCTTGTATGACCAACCTGATCTCCTTCTATGACCAGATGATGCACCTGGACAAAGGAGAAGAGTTGGATATCATATTCTTGGACTTCAAGAAAGACTTTGACCTGGTGTCCTATGCTGTCCTCATGGAAAAATTGGGGAATTGCAGCCTAGACAATTTCATGGTCTGATGGCTGGGGAACTGGCTCCATGACTGGACCCAGAGAGTGTCAGTTGATGAAACCAAATCAACTTGATGCACTGTAACCAGTGGCATTCTCCAGGGCTCTGTTTTTGAACCTGTACTCTTCAATATGTTTATAAATGGTCTGGACTCAGGTGTTATAAGTGAACTGGCTAAGTTTGCTGATGATAGCAAACTATGGGGAAGTGCAGCTACCCAGAGGATAGGCTGGCAATCCAGGCTGATCTCAACAAGCTTACAAGGTGAGCAGATCAAAACCTGATGGCATTCAATTCCGAGAAATGCAAGGTGCTCCACTGCGGGAGAAAGAACCCACACCACACTTACAGGCTTAGCAGTGCTACGCTAGCTAGCACCGCATCTGAAAGAAACTTGGGCGTCATGTATGACCACAAGATGAACATGAGCCACCAATATGATGCCACAGCTGGCAAAGCAAACAAAACTCTGTCCTGCATCTTCCGATGCATCTCAAACAAGACCTGGGAAGTCATCCTCCCACTTTACTCAGCCTTGGTGAGACCAGAGCTGGAATACTGTGCCCAGTTCTGGGCTCCACAATTCAGAAAGGATGTGGAAAAGCTCAAGAGAAGTCTAGAGGAGAGCCACATGAATGATTAGAGGACAAGAGACCAGGCCTTCTGAGGAGAGGCTGAGAGACATGGGACTCTTCAGCCTGGAGAAGCGTAGGCTCAGGGGTGACTAGGTGGCAGCCTATAAGTATATAAGGGGTGTGCACCGGGAACTGGGAGAACATCTGTTCACTGGGGCAATGCATGGGAAGACTAGGTCCAATGATCACAAACTCTTGGAAGACCATTGTAGGCTGGACATAAGGAAAAACTTCTTTAGTGTCCGAGTCCCCAGGGCCTGAAAGAGACTCCCTCCAGAGACAGTGCAGGTACCAACTCTGGTTTCCTTTAAGAAACAGGATGCCTATCTTGCTGGGATCATTTGACCCCTGCTGACTGACTGCCCTTTGGCCAGGGGGCAGGACCCAATGATCTTGCAATGTCCCTTCCAGCCCTAATATCTATTAAATCTATAATCAAATTCAGTATCCCTGCAGGAAAGCATAAGCCAAAAAATCCACCATAACAATATTTAACTTTACAAAGGAAGTTGCACTCAAATGAGGCAGCTAGTTAGAACTAAAATAAAGGTGCAGGAATACAGCAAAATGCCTATAGGAATCATATAAACTTAGAGGTACACTGATACATCAGTTTGATATTGGATTGGTACCGATATACAGAAAATTGGCTGTATCGGAAATCAACCCGATGTGGCTGATAATTTAGCTGGTACATGCCCATGCATATGCACAGCCCCAGCACAGCACTCAGACAGCAAGGAGCACAGCTCAGCAGCATGAAGAACTGCGTGCAGCTTGTAAGTCTGTTGTGGTGCAAGGGAAGGGGCACATCAACACCCCCCCCTGCAGTGAGGGCAGGGGCAGGGGCAGGTGCTGCGCAGGCGGGGGTGTGAGACAGAGATGCAGCTTGGGGGGACAAGTGGCTCCTGGCACTGTACAACGCAACCCGGGAGGGCATGGGGGCAGGTGCAACCTCAGATCTGCATGGGGTGGGGCAGGCGGACTGCAGCTGCGGACCGGAGCTGGGGCTGTGCTGGACTCTTCCCGGCAGGGGCTGGGCTCGGGGCAGGCAGCAGCAGCACTGGGAGGAGAGCTATGGAGGGGACTGTAGCCACCCCACATTTTGCTGTATTCCCGCTTCCAGCGCTGCTGCCACCATCTGCCCAACGCGCATGTGTGGAGACAGAGTGTTGAGCTGGGTCTGTGCCTGGTGGGTGGCGGCAGAGCTGGGACAGGGGATACGGCAAAATTTGGAGTGGCTGCAGCCCACTCCATAGCCCCCCTCCCAGTGCCACCACCACCCACCCCAAGTCCAACCCTCACTGAGAAGAGCACAGCCCTGGCTCCAGCCCACCC